TCTACAGTGTATCTATTTATATTCACCTGTGTTGATAGTGGTTAGGACAGTAAATAGCTCTCAGCCAACGGTCTGTCGCCTTCCTTGCAACTAGCCACTTGAGTCGATTCAATACTGGCTTAGGTTTGTACATATTAGCCTGTTAGGCATTAATTCCCAGTCAGATTCTTCCTAGTATTTAACGTTCAAATTCATCAGTGTTAGACATAAAAGATATGTATTCGTTTGACTTCTCTTTTATTGTTGATACCTGTTTTCGACTAGTATTCCATAAAGTACATCAACAGGTGGCAAAGATCCTTCAAACTTACTAATATGTATTATAATAAAGGTTTTTGTATTTCCCAATGGATGAAAAACAAAAAGATATTGTTTTTGCTGACGTTTCGTTATTTAATGCTAATAGATTTATCAAAGTATTATTAAACCGGAATTTACAAAGTCCCAGCATATATATAACAAAAAGTTAAGGGGTGAGAAAATAGACTTAGGTCAAGTTAAAGGGACATATTGAAAGTCAAAATAACAATCAAGATCACTAAACCAAAGAACAAGAATAATAGTACGTCTGTTATGATATCAAAATAAAGTCTACTAACTTGATCATCGTTCGTTAGTCTGGGGGCATTTTTAGTTGTCAAATTGGTCAACTGGTAAAGATAACAAAACCAAGTGTAGATTGTTGGATTTGATCAGTGTGTAAAATTATAAAGGCAGTGTGTGTTTACATAGTGAACTTGCATATCACGTTCGTGTTCATTTTGTCACTTCATGGGGGAGGGAGGTGTTGTAACCAGGTCAGATTCTGTTTTAGTCCATCATTCCTATTCGGGCAATTTGGATTCCACTTGATATGAAGTGCTTCTGACATTAGACGTTCTTTGTGATTTCTGAAGTTTTTCTGGATTATTTCAATATTGTCAAAATCAATTTTGTGGCCTGATTCTATAGCTGATGATTTTTCAAGTTTTTCTAGTTCAACCGGATTTCTCGGTGGTCGAAGAGATGCTCTACGGTGTTCATTTCTTCTGAATTTGATTTCTCGAGATGTTTGTCCGATGTATATCGCATCACATTCCAAGCATTTTATTTTTATATAGATGCTCGCTAGTGACTTGCTACAGGTTGGAGCTTCCTGTAGTTCTAGTGAGAAGTCGTGACCAGTGAGGTGCAATTAGAAGTCACGTGTGTGGATGGATGTCCCACCAACGACAATAGTTGGGGTCGCGCTAAAATCACGAATTGGTAGAAGTTAGAATTCATGGGCTGGCCATCGAATCAGCTCACAGTGGCTGAATGATATACGAGCTTGCCTTGTAACCGGAAGGTCCTGGGTTCGAAACCTGGCAGTGAGTGCGTACTGCCGATGATTCCCAAACTAGGATGAAACAGCAGCTGTCCAGTACTCCCTGGTTTTCAATGGTTCTCTAACTGACATCAGTCCGTGATCAACTCGTAAAACATAACTAATCCTTACAAACCAAACTATAGACAATTAGATAAAGAATCTTTAGAGATTTGGTCTTTTATATGGACAAGGTTGTTTCGTAGTGTGTCTGATGTTTTAAAGAAATTTCTAATGTCGAGCTGATTGAGTACTCTTCTGATATCATCTGACGTCTCTGCTCTAAATGGAATGACGACTGTCGAGGTCCATGTTTTCGGAATGCGTTTTCGGCCATACTTAATGTCTGTGTTGATTTTGTTGATAAAGTTTCTTGGGTAGTTGTTTTGCTTGAGAGTTTAAGTAATGTTTGATATTTCTTCTGCTTCTTCTTTCTCATGCGTTATCAGAGACTGTGCTCGTCTAAGAAGACTTGAAACAATATGTATACTTAAAACTATTTCATTCTGTCTTGTATAGACGTACGTGACCAGTAAAAAAAGTTCTAAAAATGTGAGATTTAGTCTACAAGCACCTAAAGATTTAATAATATTCTTGTATTGTCTACTATGAAGTAAACTTGGCTTCAATATAAAAACTACTGAGAAGTTGGCTTTCACGTCTTAAAACTATACATATAGTGACTATATGAGCAAGGGGATGATTTAAATGAATCCGAATGATAACTAACAATCATAGTTGGTATTCCTTTGTTTTATTAATAGTTGGAATTTTACTATTCTACGTCGGCTTTAACAATCGCTTCAATCATCCATCATCTTTTCAACCTGCGTTTTAACTTCATTTGACTGAGGGTTTTGTTAAGACTGAAAACCTGTAAAATGTGTTTTCAAGTAATGTTTGTTGTAGAATAATGTAGAATAATTTATCAAGAATAAGAAAGACATCTGCGACACCGAAATCTTGCATATATATACATATATATATCAAATCAAAAGTACCGACTCGGGGAATGCAAAAACCGCTTTTGATGTAGGAATAAAAAAATTCCTCTTTGTCTTCATACAGTTTTAATCATAAAATCTTAATTATATTTTGAAAACTAGAGACTATTTTAAAGCTTCGAATAATTTACTTTTTATCCGAATAAAACAAAACAAAAAAGTATAATTCATTTAAATAGTCTAGGTAATTTTTTAAACACGTTTAAAACAATCATGTCATACACGTCGTAAAGATGTCTATGAAAATGGAGGCATTTAAGGATTTCAATACTGAAGAAATTTGGTTTATTTAGTTCATGTATACAACATGCTTTTGATGCCTGTTCCAACAGTGCAGTTCAACATCCAGGAGGTCAGATCATGATCTTTATCATTGAAGTAATCAACCATTCACTGTCGTTTTACATCGTAGATTATTCTAACTTAACCCAGCTACCTCAACATCTGATCAAGTCTCGTCAACAGGTATAAATAACTTGTTGTGGAGTGAGAATTTACGATTACCTTATTCCTTCAGAGTATAAAAACCTACTTCATTAACAAAGTATCAAGCTTCATCAACTGCACGCACAATACAGGCAATAAACATAATGCCACATACACATCAGATGACAATTCCTGTGAAATTTCACAAAACAATGCATTTCCTGACATAACTTAAATGAGCTGGTCGGCTAATGTTGCAACACAACAAATCTATATTGAAAAACTCTCACAGGTGAACAGCAAACCATGCTGAAATATGATTGTGTAAGCAGCAGCTTATACTTCTAAGTGATGTCCTATAATTATACTTTGTTAAGTGACTTTCTACTTCGGTAAATAAGGCATTAGATAATTTGTATCGATATAAAATTTGTGAAACCAGTTATTTATTTTTGTCTTTGAAGTGTTTTGTTTTCTTTCTACGCCTAGGCATCATTCTTTAGTGTGAGAGTGAAAAGTACTTTTTATAATTAACAATGGATTTAATCAGTGTTAGCTTTTTTGTTTAAAGTAAAGATAAGTGCTTCCCTATTGTAACTTAATGAACGAATAAGTTATTATTGTTACGATTATTATTATTACGGTTTTGAATAGCATGGATCGAAATCAGGTCAAAATTTTTTATTAACCATTAATAAACAGTAAACTGACATTATTATTAGTGAAGGAAAACAAAACAAATTATCGATTTATACGATAACTTCGTAGGTATAATTTACTAAGCATTTCAAAAGATTCTTCACCGTAAAAACTCTCATCTGAGTTATAGGGAAACAGTATAGTACAGCGTTGTCAGTTGATGTTTGTGTATAAAGATTCACTTGGATAAACATCCCGTCATACTTCCAGAGTTCTACTCATCCACAGATTATCATCAACTCTGACGAAATGATAAAAGCAAAACAGCATACTCGTTGAACTGAAGATATGTAAACTGTGAGACAAATAATAAATTAGAGCTGTTTTGTTCTTTGATCTGAATGGCTTAATGGCTAAGTTTTCAACGTGTTTTTATAGACACTATCATTAGCGATACTTTCGAATTAAGCATGCAGACATGAAATGTCTGTGGATTGAGTAATCTACTTCGGTGAACTAGATAACCAATAGTATTCAAGGCTCTTGTGTAGTGGGAGCCAATCTCTTCTCAAGATGGTTAGAAAGTTTAAATTATATAATGCTATCCACCTACAAAAACTCAGACCGAGGGGAGCAGGAAGTCTTCCACAAACAACTTTAAACACTGATGGATAAGACCCTATCCAGATGGTGACATCAAAACCTAACGGTTGGTGTAAGTGCCTAACTGGTAACAGACCGCACATTAATTATGGGTGGAGAGAGTTTGGTGAAATAAACAAGAACAGAGAACTCTTTGCAGACTATCTCATATTTAACCGTTTGAAACAGAAGATCGAGAAGAAATGCAGATGCAGGTTCAGATCAATATCTAGGCAAGGAACCTTTAGGATGAAGTTGAAATCCTTCAAAGAAACTGCAGATAAACCGTAAAATGAATGACACTTTCTCTGAAGTCATCAGGAAAATATCATAGGCATTTAGCAACAACAATGAGAAACAATATTTGTCAATTATCTGAACCTACGTTGCTAATTCAATTCTAAAATTAAGGTGTTTTTTCATAAGTAATCTGAGTGCTAAATATCTTGACCTTTATTGATTCTATTACATAGATAAGTACGACAGGTATGTGTGATCGAAATTTCTCAATTGTGTTGAACAAATATACTACACGTTTCACATAAATTACGTTTTCATAAAGGGAACTAATTGCGTGTACATTGTTAACGTTTACTGAAAGTGAGTAGGCCTCAACTTATGTCAACTTCATAATAATGGCTTGTGAAAATAAGCTGTTTCACTGCAAAGATTAGTGTAATATTCTTTCTGTCTAAGTAAACTCACTTTCTACAACCTAATGAATATTAAATCTTTTCTAAGGCAATTGTTTAACAAAGTGATTCATTAGTAATATACTTAAATTAATTTCAGGCAACTCAAATAATGAATCGATAGTATTTTTAAAGATTTCAATCAACTCTAACTCACATGACCATTACACACACATATGAAGTGTATATACTCATCGATAATTCATTATTAATCAACTGACAGTTTGTATTTTTATAAATACCAAATAAAAAGTGTTATCGAAACTATACACTGATGTATCAAATAATTAATAGATAAACAAGAATCAAATAATAATAATAATAACAATAATACTCGCCAATAGTTTGATTTGAACACATACCTCTGATTCTACTTTTCTCTTCTTTGGTTTATGAATAAAGGTTAGAAAATTGTATCATTTTGCCTGTGTTTTGTTATAACCAATACATATATTATCAAAACCAGTCTAATCAAACAGTATACATTATGAAGAATTATAATGTCGTTGTTGAAGCTAATGAATTACCACCTGAACGTAAAGCTACAGCATTAACTCTGTGTATACAAGCTTTGGATTATTATAACAACGAGAAGGAGGTAGCCATGTTTATGAAGAAGAATTTTGATAAACTCTATGGACCTACTTGGCAATGTATTATAGGACATGAATTCGGCTCGTAAGTGATTTTTCTTTGTTTGTTTTCAATATTATTCTCCCTTCTTTTTTATTGGTTAACCATCCATTATTGTTATATTTTTTAAAATGTTTGGATATTTAATAATGTTTTAATTAAAGAGTATAGGAAATACGCGGTGAAAATTAGATTCATTTTGGTTGATAGTAAGTATTTCAGGAGAACTAAAGCCAGCATATTCTGTCTGTAAGAAGCTCTTACCAGTATGTGGTACAAAACTCTCCTGAAAAGAGACTAAATTTTAGTATTAAAGCTTTTCAATTTCATTGCTTGAGATTCATTCACACAAGTCCCCTTTATTCAGTATGTATAACACAACACAGATGCTATTTATAGTAGACAACAAATGTAGTTTTTTTCAAACTTTTGATACCCAAAGACACAAAATAATGAATTACACATTCAGTAGCTTTCTGAAATGAGGACAAAACGTATGCTGCACTGTGGTAGAGTATAATTCCATTATGGGTAAAATTTATTTTGATAAAGTCTCACAGTGTTATACAGTAATGTTTACTGATGACCAAGTTTCGAGCACAATTTATTGCTCATAATCATATCAAGACACTATTCACACAACTTTCTAACTTCGTTGATATAATTCCATTATTTCCCATCGCTTGATTTGATTGGTAGTAGTATTTTCCACATTTCCGGTTTTAGTGATGAGTCATTCCTATTGCATGTGTTGGGTGTAGACTCGATAAACAAGGATTCAGTAATCAACCTCTCTCTCCATCTACCTGTATTACTTCTTAGAATTTTAACCCTCTTTCACCCTATTGTGTGGTTATGTGTTAATGCATGCAGTGCAATTGCTGAGCTGCATCACCACTCATACCGGAAATATGCAAAATACTACTACCAATCAAATCAAGCTATGGAAAATAATGGAATTATATAAACGAAATTAGAAAGTTGTGAGAGTACCTTGATATGATTATGAGGAGCAATAAATTGTGCTCGAAACGTCATCAGTAAACATTACCGTATGCTTAATGTTTATCCATCTCATTTCTGTAATGAGATTATTCGAATTTCCTTAAATCCTATACCTCAAATTGATTTAATATGTCTTCAGTACAATCATTGCCTCAAGAGGATTTTAATGAGAACTGACAGGTATTCACAGCGAAATTCAGAAATTCACATATGAATCACAATTACATTAGAAAGATAACTGCGTCAGGTAATTTGAATATATCAAATCATTAAGGAGAAAAATTACTGCTCATATTTTAATAGTAAGAGGAAAGATAAGATAATAATTAAACTGAAGCCTTTACGATTAACAATTGAAAGTTTGACTGAATAAAGGTTCAGGAGTAATAGCAGGTATTATGGCCCAATACACTATACACATCTGGGAGAAAATTAATTTAGACACAAACACTTCCCCCATTCAGCCATATAAAAAGAAAAGGCGTTCAGCGAAGAGTTACGCTTTTCAGAGATATCATTCTCAAGCTGTACAACAGCATATATGCAGCAAATTATCTTAGAAACAAAAGGAATATTTACTATATATATGCAGTTGTACAGCTTTAGAGTGATATTGCCTAAAAGAGTAATTCCTCGATGAACGCCTCTTCTTTTTTATGACAAATACTTCCTCCAATCAAGTGAAATCAGAACAACCTGCTTGTGTCCTATTTACCCCAAGAAGATTTTCCTAAAACCACAGGAGTTATTCAAGTGAAAATAAGTTTCTAACTTTATGGATTGAACAATATATGGTTGAGCTTCCGGTACAGTTCACAGTAATGACTGCTACTTGGATGAATAACCTACCATATAATTAATATCAGAGCAGAACATTTGTACCGTGGTAGAATATGCCAGAAAATGCCTCACTTAAGATGGACCACCTAGGTGAATGAAAATACTAACATGCTGGTGGCTAGTGCCATTCTTTGAATTTCAGGTGTGAAGATTTTACTAGCAGAACTAACAAATGCAGACAAATTGTGTAATCAGTTATAATTACGCTTGATGTTAACTATCATAAATTCAAATGTCAAGAAATTTAACCGCCTGAAACTGATGTTAGTTGCGATATGTATTTACAAAAACATATATATCCCTATAGTATATGTAGCTGTACTTAACTCATGGGCCACTGGATCTGTTTCCAGTAGATGAATCGTCTACTAACTCACCTTGTAACTAAAAGGTACTGGCTTCTAACCCTGGCAGTAGGTGCGTACTACTGAACAGTCCCAAACTGTGGCTTTCCAATAGTTCTCTAATTGATGTCAACTCCTGATGAAACCTACTGCCAATCGAGTCCCTGAAAACCGACACTTGAAAGTCGATACTGAATTTATGATACGTAAATTCGACAAAAGCATGGAACTTCTAGTGATCACTTCATCATTTGTTCCCCATGGTAACAACAAAATAAAAAGCTTTTATTTTGAAAATGTTGCCTCTATTTGAAATCATTATAAAATTATGAAAAATTAAAATAATAAAATTGAAGACTTCATTACAGTTAGTTGCCTGTGTAAATTAATTAGCTGTGCAAAATATTGACTTAATATTTTACAAAACACTGTGTGTTTATGCAAATAAGAAAGAATTTAGGGTATGCAAATAATTTGCTTAGCTGATTATTGATTTTTTAAAATACAACTGATAATAGTACAGTGGACTGACAAAATAACCACATGAGTAAAATTGAAATATGGATGGATGAATTTTATAGAATTATCAATTTTAGCAGGATATATATTTATATCAGTACATGTGAACACGTACAAATATAAGTAAGGCAAACAAAAGATAGAGTGATGGTACACGAATGAAGGAACGGGTGTAAGATAATTTAAGATAAATTAGAACTCAGTAACAATGTACTTATTAAAATTGACAGCTTAAGGAATCTATAGAATTTCTTAAAGATATATCTGTGGTAAATTTTACACACTGTGAAATGAGTTATATACATAGGTAGCTATCAAGATTTCTCTCGACAATACTAAGACCAACAAGAAACAACTCAAAAGCTAAAATAATAGATTCACTTGAATTAGTGAAGCGACTAAAAACCACTAAAATAGAGGAAGAGGAAATACTAGCCAGCTTTGATGTAACCAGTCTCAATACAAAAATACCCATTCAAATGGCTATGAATGCACTGAAAGAGAAACTAATAGAAGATAATGGCCTAAAAGACAGAACACAGTTATCTGTAGAAGGGATAATAAAAGGGGTGGAATTCTGTCTGACAACAACATATTTCACATTCGAAGAGAAAATGTACCAACAAAATGTAGCCATGGGATCGCATATTTCACCAATAATAGCTGACATATTCATGGATTATTGGGAAGAGAATGCCCTTAGACCATTCAGGTCATTTTTGGTGGAGATATGTAGATGACACACTAGTAATAGTGAAAAAAAAACGATATTGAGAAACTCTTCTCACATTTAAACAGCCATGTCGACTCAATAAAATTCACTATGGAAATAGAGAATGTAAATGGGGAACTACCCATGTTAGACTGGAAAATACAAAGAATAACAGATGGTAGCATTAAAACGACGCTATATAGAAAAACCACACACTCTGGAAGATTCCTTGATTATCACTCAGCTCATCTACTCGCGGTGAAACGAGGATTAATACAAGGTCTTGCAGATAGAATACGTAGACTCACAACAACGCCAGAGGACCGGTGTAAAGAAATAAACGTCCTATTCAAAATGCTACTCGAAAATAATTACCCAAAAGAATTTATAAAAGATAATATAAAAAAGAAAAAAAGAGGGTAGTACCGGAGAATAACAAGATGGAAGAATGCACAATACCAAATAAAAATGGTACATCAGAGGCAATTCAAAGAAACCTCAAAAATATCGGCATTCGCACAACTTTTAAACCGACAAATCTAATCAAAAATAAACTAAATCAACTGAAAGATCCCATAAAAATGATGGATAAAAACAACTTGATTTACAAAATATCTTGTGCTGACTGTCCGACGAAATATGTGGGACAAACATCCAGATCACTCAAAATAAGAGTGAATGATCATAAACGCGTAACCAAAGGTCAACCGACAGGAACACAAGCCTACAAGAACCTTGAAAAAATTTCATCGATAGCTGCACATGCATGGGAAAACAACCACAATATCGATTGGAACAATGTGTGTATTCAAAAACTAACATGAACAAATGGAAAGAAAGACTTATAACAGAATCGATGTTCATTAAAGTCACACCGGATACATGTAACAAGGGTGACTCAGTACAACTATTAACAACTTAGAATATAATACTGAATACAAAAACATGAATGAAAGTGGAATATAATTTAAATACAAAAAACATGAATGAGCATATATATATATGAGTACAAATCATAAATGTGTGAATAAAACAATTCCAACAGTAGTGTGAACACGGGCAGTAATTTTGCTCGGAATATTACCAATAACAAAACTTATCATTGTGTGTAAACTATTGAAATGTAATTATACTCTATTTTTAGCTCAGGAACAGATCAGAGGGTGTTCATTTACTAACAAAATATCGTGATTTCATGCAGTCTTGATGTCGGTTTAATTAATGGAAATGGATATTGTAGTGAGCAGACGGTAGCGTTTGTCAAAGCATTACCCTCAGTTTAATAAATATTTGAGTTTTCAACGTGATTTACAAAAATAATATCATTTAAGTAGATGCTACTTCATTGAGTATCGTAACATGGCTGGTTATTTTAGTGGCTTAGGTTAATTCGTCATTTACATAAGATAGTTCCGTTAGTTCCACTCGTTAAAATGTATTGATGGTTGATCATTTTGCCCCGTAAATTTGAGTAAAAAACTGTTTGTGCTTGACAACAAAACACTTTAGTCGATTTCTGTCCATAGGAGTTGATGTACATAGACTTACTAAATCCATTTATAGTTTGGTCATTGTGTTACAGATCCCTTGATTTCAACAGGAAGCTTTTGACATGGAATCGTCAGCGTGGTGCATCTGTCACATTTAAGAACCTGAAGATTCTTTAATAATTTGAAGAGCTGTAATAGTTTTGTTTTATTCCTTCACATTCCCAGTGGAACATAGGGCTTTACGCTAGAGCTTTGAAGTTTCGGTAGGAGTGGTGGTAAGGTTTACAGGACGGAGTTGCTAGACTCATGCCCAACCCCTCCTCTTCACCAGCCTTTTTACTGGCTTAGCTAGTTAAAGGCGTGCGGAGGCTGGGGTTCAAGCCCCGAACCGCCTGCATGGTTGGCGAGCATTCTACAGCTGTCACCGATGCTATAATAGTACAAGTTTCGAAAATGTGAATACAATCTCACGTGAAGTTTGCACTCCTAAACACTCATTTTAAGTGTATGACATCAAAATTAAAGTGTACCACTGTAAAGTATTACATAGAAGAGTAGTACAGTCCCACATCCAATTGATAGAAGTTCAGCATTTAAGTTACCACTTGGTGAACACATTCAATGGAGTTGCGTGCAATTTGAACTAACACAGAGTAACTTGAGAGTAAATTGTTTAAGATTCAGTAATCTATGTCTACTGATTTTAAAGAAATTCACTAAGTAATAGACTTCGTAGTTTTCCTTCGAACGTCACTTGATGTCTAGCCATCCAAGGCATCATCAAAAACAGAAATTTAATCCATATATTGATTATTATTATTATGATAGATATTTAAAGTTGCTTTTTATCTAATATTCAGCTGCAGTAGTGACTGAGATTTAGACAAACATGTAGGCACGAAACTACAACCTGTTAAAGTGCTGAGTACTTTCTGTGGGACTGCAATGGTAGAATCACGCATTTGAACGAATATTATTCTTCAGCTGGAAAAACCTTCATCAGTTTTTTTCCCTTCACGTTCCCCAGTGGAATATTGGGCTTCAAGCTAGTAGCTTGAAGTTTCTGTAGCAGTGTTTATTTTACAGGATGGGGTTGCTAGCCTCATGATCAACCTTTCCTCTTTTACCAGCATTATTTCTGGCTTAACGAGGTAAGGAGTGCGTCGGCCGGGGATCGAACCCCGGACCATATGCAGGGTCGGCGAGCGTCCTAACCGCTATGCCACCGACGCCGGAAAACCTTCATCAGTTAGATTTTATAAACAGAATGGATCAAAATATGAACAGGCTAGACACCTAGTCTCATTTATTGTATTTGAATTAAAATTTTGGGATATACCACACAGTGTAACCGAACTAGATATAGAATTTGGTTTGAAATCTAATTCATTACTTTATCTTTTAAGATATAAATTCTAAACTAACTTTTATCTAAGACTTTAAAGTTGTTATTTCTGACAATTTCTTTATTTTGCTTTTCAGGTCAATAACGCATGATGAAAAATGTTTTATTTACATACACTGTGGGCCAGTCAGTCTCCTGCTATTTAGGTGTACCGGATAATATTTATGTAAACAAAAATATGGGAATACACAATTCTTTTCATACAGTAAAGAATATTTTTTCTGAAAAAAAACGTTGTGTTGTTATTTGCGTATCTTGAAAATGTTACTTTAATTAGGGAATTATTCAGAAAACAAGTAATACCGAACAATTCGATACTGTATCAACACTAAGTACCTCCCCATCTTGTAAAAGCAGATATAGCATTCATTTGTTAGGCAGCTGCAGTCTACTGCTAACACTTTATTCTCAAACATGCCCAGAACGTAAATCTTTCATTTATAAAAATTCATCCGAACGAAATTTTCTAAGGTCATGACGGTCAACCGCTGAATAGTATCTGAATCACTTAGGTGAATCCATACTGTTTAACTAAGAATTCTCTACAATTTCACCTATCTGTCAATAGTTCTTATACAACGGACATCCGTTTGGTGAGTAGGTAAATTACGTATCTTGTTTTTCAAGCATGTAGCATTCTTGCCGGTATTGAAAGAAAACAACAACAAAGATGAAACCGACTTCAAATTCAAAGAAAAAGGTTTTCTGAGAATTAGGCTTAGGTCTGCTGAAATGGACAGTAGTTCGCACAAAGAATATATATATATCTATAATTTCCTACCTTTGCACAACTAATCTATACACCGCTGTTTGCATATATGTGGGAAATATGAGTTTTTGTTATGAGGATTACCATGTACACTGAAATATCTGACACCATCCAATAGAAATGAATGTAGTTCACTGTGTTATGAAGACATAAAAAACGTTTTCGCATATTTCTTTCGCTCAGAGCCTTAAACACTGTAGTAGTAAATTTAAGGTAACCGCGACCATAAATCACTTCTAACTTTGCCGTTTAGAGGTACTCATGAAAATTAAGGATAACAGGTAGTAAAAGGAGAAGGTGATTCAAACGACAGTGATTTTCAAGTAAGACATTTCTCTGGGACATTGAATATCATTAGATATAAATCAGTTCGACAGATGATGCAAAACTGGCTGATTCATTCTTTTTCCTCCATCTCAATCTTAATACTCAAGAATAAGGCTCTAAATTTCGAATGTGGTTAATCAATATTCATCCCTCTGTGATATAACTGACTCAGCTTCGAGACTATCTAAAGTTTCTGTACAATAATTTTCGAAACAACCTTCCTTAACTTTCTTCTTTACACACCTTGGTTCTAATAGTCTAAATCCGTAATTTGCGGGCTTCTTCTGTTTGTATACGCTTTCTTCTACGCGACTACTTCTCAGCTCTACTCAACACTATGCTTTAGCTAATATTCAGTTTAAAATATCAAATTAGTTCCGTAGGCTTAATGCGCTGGCACAAGTGTTTGCAGAAGCTATGCAGTAAGTAATATTGACTATGTATATTTCAATGTGATGTTATGCAAAGTTATTAGCGAAAAATAATTAATATTCTGAATATGTATTTCTACAGAAATTTTCAATACAACATTTGCAATACAATTGTAGACAAGTTTAATAATAATTTATAAAATTCTGTGGCATAAATCTTAGTATATATATATATATATATATCAAAGGAAGGCCATGCTACAATTCCTTTGATGAGGATATTCACACATCAAAAGTATCCTCATATAAATGATGAAAATACTCTTGAAAAATTTTTAATTACACTTCTATATGTTCAAAATTGATCACAATGAAACCATCTCTTTGCCTAATAGGATAAATGTAGCATGTATATATATATTCAACTAGAGTTAAAGCAAAGAGTTGGAATAAAGTAGGCACCATTGTGCTTATGAAGTCAATGGAATAAAAATTGAGATAAGCACTTTGTCAGCTTTCTTCTTTTCACTTAGTTAACTCCTCCAGTTCTGAAAAGCACCACGGCATGATTGTCTAGGAAGAAATAGATGAAATGTTTCTCTTCATGTGATATGTACCTGAAGAAGAATCCACCAATACAAGATAGCTTCATCAGTTAAACTTTTTAATTCATCGAGAAAGTTGATGACGACTTGACACTGACAAAAATTGCATAAAATTGTGAAAAGAATTATCATAATTCATTCTGAGAGTTGAGTATAAAAAACACTTGTCAACTTCATTCTGAATTCAATTATTTGCATTGATTTCCCTTATTTTAAACAAAGCTGGACTGTGGTTTCGTCTGCCATTACTTTAGAAATATCCCTAAATTTCCTAGAGATGAGTTTCCGGGAATTATTTTCAGTTCAGTCTGCGCAGAATGGAGCATCAGGTTAGAGTATAACCCGCGAAAATCCGCTGCACTAAAGAAATGGAGAAAGATCAGGTATACACTGAGGTGAGGGTCGACTAACATCAGGTGCCAAACCGTTGAGTGGAACTCGAGTTGGAAACAAAGTGTTAGATATCACAGAATGATACTGATGAGATAGCGTGAGGAGGAAATCGAAGTTTATGGGCAGTAACCCAGTCAGCTAAGTAAGACTGCAGAGCAAACAGTACGATGGTGATCCGCTTTCGACGCCCCGCATTCTACCTGGAACACAAGTCAATAATAATTATCATAATAATCTGTCTTAATGTTTTCAACTAATACTTCTAAAAATAAGTCCCACACCAGTGAACAGTGGATTCTCCAGCATTAACTGTATGTACATATCATGGAAAGAAACAGTGACGTTTGGTAGCAGAATTATGTATTTCACAGAATAGAGATACCTGACACTGAGATTTTAATTTCTAAGTGTCTGAAGGAGACATTTCAAGTGGCCACCTTACGCATCACGTTCTCCAGCAGACAATTAATCCACTCTAATGTTAAGGACAAGATGTCGCTTCTGGCCACCTCACTGTGTATTTATCGGTTTGTTTGCCCGTATCAAGCAATGTAGATCGTCCGTACGCAACTTCAAGTCCACATACGTATCCTGGAACATTGCTCAGCTTGGTTAACCACAGAAGAAAAGAAGAATAGTGGCAGTTCCATCCTCGAACACCTTGTCATCTGCGAACTTCGAACACCCCCGCATGAATGCTTCACAGTGCTACACAGAGTCCTTCAATATTTTACAAACGGACTTCGTATACGCCATTTGTACATGGCTGAATCATCAGCTATTCAGGAACTAAAACCAGACCTCTGTATTCAAAAGGATTACTTACATTCACTCGCCCTACCGAAGTCAGAGTAAAGTTCCTACTATAATTTTGCTTCTTTTTAGTATGTAGCTTTAGTATTATTATTGTCACTGTTATTATTATCATTATTATTCCCATCATCCATATTTTATTATCACTGTATTATTGTTTATTAATAACATCGCGTTTTTATACAGCTTTTATAAAAACACTTTATCGTATTTCCACTAGTTTCTGTCCACTCTACAAAACTATACTGATGAGTCATTATCTCACAATTATTGCGTAATGCTAACTTCTACCTCTTTTCTAATTTGCAAATAGTCACCCCTTCTATATTACACCCTACATTACGTAATACATTTTTAAGGACACATTTTACCAGTAACTGCTTAGTCTTATGATTCCCTTGTTAAATCTAATTACGATTGTACAGCAGTTTATGGAAATGAGTCGCCGAAAAGAAAATCCGCTTCGCTGTTTACGTCTTTTTCCTAAGATTTTAATTTGTCAAAATTATTCCTCTTCGGCTTCTTTCACGAGGATCTTCACTTCTCTCCTTGTGTAAGTCTTTTTCTTTCAGTCACGGGCTTCACGTATCACTTTCAAGACATGGACTGTGAAGCATGAAATCAGTTAGCTGAGATGTTACATGTAGTGTCCCAAAAACTCTAATATAAAATTATGCTTATCAAACAAGCCTGTGCGGGGTTTATTAATCTGAACTCATTACTAAAATTAACACTAAGTGAGACATAAATAGAATGCAATGAAACTTACGTGCCGAAATTAGTTCCGACAACACAATGCCAAGTTGGTGAATACTTTCTATCGAATTCTTTCTTCATAAAAGCTGCAATATCTTTTCCAAGTGTGTATTTTTTAAGCGCAATAGCACACATATCTACAGCGTCCTGTTGCATTTCATCAGGCATATCAACACTTTTGATAATAGCTTTCAATTCAGGCATTTTCAAGTTTTATTCTTCTCTGTGTATTCCTTGAATGTTGTATTATCTACATATGAAGTAATAATCTTTTTGTTTGTACTTCAAGATCTCTGCGTTGCTAAATAATGTTTGAACAAAACTTTTCAGCGTGCTATTTACGCGCATATATTAATTCGAGTGTGTATAAGAGTGTTTGTCCACAAAGTAAGTAGAAAAAAACAACTTTTCATCACAGTGGCCAAAGTAACAGAAATTGTGAATATCAATTTGTACTTAGTATAAACACATCACTAAATGCCTGATCAACGGAGAAAAAAAAAGTTAGTCCGAATAAATTATCTGAACCGTGTGCTTGTGTGTCTTTTTCTATATGTCTGCTTACATGCGCAACAGTGAACATTCGATTTAATTTATTAAGGAAAGGTCGAATCGATTGTAGAAACGGAAGCTTTTAACTTTCAGAGGAAATGTTTTAACACAACTGTACACACAAGAGTGGATGGTTCATTGTCACTTTACTGGAAACTAAACTATTGTCCAATAGACTGTATGGTGTGATATTTCTTTGTGAAAAATGGATAATTGAAACAGACCTATTGCAGTTTAAAGAACTATATAATTCAGCACAGCAGATCCATTTCTGTCGCTGAATATTTTTCAAAACTGAAGCCAGAGGTAAATTACAGTTTTCAGTATTTTTTCGTAAAAGAGGTTAAATACTAAGTCTGATACTGATTTTGTTCCCGAATGTGTCACATAGTTACTCTTAACGCTGAAAAGCATGGATTTAGTCTGACATAATGATAATAATTACAGTTTCTGCCCTGTTTGGTACAAAAGATCCTTGGTAAGGTACCTCTCCAGTATAATTCAACGAATATGCACTGAAGACATACTTGATGAAGAAGAATGACAGTTGACACTAACTCTGGTTGATAACAACTATCCAGACAGGTTCATCAGGAGATATAAGATAGTCAGAACACCAAGACCCACTCTCCAACTAGCCTCTAAGAAAGACGTGTACATCAAGCTATCCTATATGGAAGATCATAGCAGCTTGACAAGTAGACGAAGATTGAACACTGCTGTTAAAAAGACTTTTTATGCAGCTAGTATCATAATAATTGAAAATGTGAAGCCAATATGTCTATCTTAGCCTTTTGAACATGCGAAAAATTATGTCACATCCCACTGTATTCACCAGTTTGAATGTACATGTGGCCACACATACAAGGGGAGGACTCATCGATCTCTGCAAGTAAGGGCTTCAAAACATATTCCTTAATGGCTCCAGAAGGAAACAGAATCTCCAGAACCCACTAATGGTGAGAACAGGAGACCTAGCTCCTCTACTGGTAAACATATCATATGGGCAGGAGATAAAATTGACGTTAACACATCTTTTAAACCTATCTATAAAACGTGTTTGTGGTACATCCTAAAGTTTGTGGCAGCCCTATCAATTAGGAAGTTTAAACCACCTTTAAGCGTGCAATTACAATTCGTCACCACATTAAGCCTTCCTTGGTAAACTTTGTTTTGATATCATAGCAGATGTATTATTACCTCTGTTATTAGTGATCTTCATTGTTATTTTGACCTTCAATATGTCCTTTTAATTTTACCTAAGTCTATTTTCTCACCTCCTAACTCTATTAATTTCATAAATATTCCTATGACAAGTTCGTGTGTGATCAGATTGTTCAAAATGTGTTGCGCAGATACATTACATGATTCAGACAAATTACGTCTTCTTATTGCTTTGTTTGACATTATAATATTAAAATGATTAGGTGATAAAACGAAAATAGGAGTTGCTGAAAAATTCATTATCAACAAATAGCTGTATTAACTTCAAATTGGTTCTCATTGTCAACTCAAAGTATACAGATAATAAAGATTAAAAACATGTCTCCTAGTAAAAGTATATTAGTCATTTTCAAGAAAATAATTAAGGCGGATTATGCGACATTTTGGATTTTTAAATACACCTCTAATCGAACAGTATTTCTCCTGTAGCTTCTTGTGATGAGTATTTGGATAAGCAGATATCAGAAGACATGAATCCAAGTATCAGTGGAAGTTAAAGCTTGATGACAAATGAACGAAAAATATCTTATATAATGTATAGCTGTGGCAGTACTCGTAATTAACTGAACGTAATATACATTTGTTGTACTGACAATCGAATTTAAACTTAGGAAAAATCTCAGTGTATGGTAACAATGTCAGCACTTCATTATTGAGTGTACCTAAAAAATAAATTTCGAGAGGCGTAATATAACCTCATAAATGAACGATAATATGAAGAAGTGCTGTGTTACAACTAAAACCGACGTACGGTGGTGTGAACGCAGGAGCCTTGTCTTTGCGTTTTACTGTATAGCTGTCCAGAACATCCTTGATTTACGCACAGTACAAAAATGTCCCAATAATAATGAAAAGACGACAGTTTGTGATAAAATCCGAGGTACTGTCTAACAGCAATGACATATGCTAAAGCTAAATTACCTCAACAATGCCATTAGGCAGACATACAAACCAAATTAGACATTAGACACAAAACAAGTAGTATTCAATAGAAATATTTAACCAAAATCAACCGTATTAAGTACCTTAGAATCAAGAAGAATATTCTCAACAAGGTGTGATCAAGACTCTATCAGCAAGAATCATGCGATAAACAATTACCATAGACCGTCTAAGGTCAGAATGACTTTGACTTGCTAAAACAGAATCGCAGTCATATAACAAAATATTATCAGTATCATCACAGAATCACAAAAAGAAGTTTTTAAATTTGAGAATAAACAGGAAAAAAGACAAATAATGAGTCAGTAGATGAAATATAAACGTCAGAATAATGACATATAAACTAGGAGAGTAGAGAAAGGTAGTTACAAAGTTAGTTCAGACATTCAATTAAGCGTCAATATTATAATTAAATCATTTAGGAGGAATTTTCCAAACAGTTGTGTGACTGAATGGAGTACTAAGATCTTAGGCTTCATCTCATATGAATAACACTGGAAAACATTGCCCTGATTTAATTTGCTCACAGTTGACTGAAAGACTAGCATTACTAAATATTTCGGTTTAGACGAGTTATGAATAACTTAATTCTTTGTATTTTCCATCTCCTACAAATCAGCAGGATTCCCTTAAATGCTGCTTTCTTACGGTATCTGATCTTTTCTGTTGTAGTTGTGGTAAGGAAACGGTGAAGGAAATATAACAACCTGAGTTACAATCAGGATGTCAGCGAAGAAAACTTTGTTTGTAACAATCTCAATAAGTAGTTATTCTGTACTTAAGCTTATTATAATTCATAAAAACTTTATGTAATCCCTATTGCATGTTTCATTTTACTTCACTTCAGGTTACGGCGTTTTGACATTTTGTCGCATTTTCCTATTGTACTAGATTTGAACAAAACAGGAATGCAGGATTTCATCATGAGGTGACATCGGTTAGAGGACCACCGGAAGGCCTAGAATTACAGGATTAAAGCTATTTCCTCCTAATTTGGAACTCTCCAAAGTTCTCAGCCACTGGCGTTCGAACCCAGGACCTCCCGTTAACAAACCAAGCTCTGGGACCATCAAGCCACTGGGACCTGGCCCATGAAGAATAAACAAACTAAGCAGGATAACATGGTGTCATTTCATTTCGTTGCTTGTATCCAACTGTAAACAATCTTAAACAATTTTAGTACCAACGCGCAAGCTATTCGCACACTCTAGTTACTGTGCATGAAGGTGAAAGTCATTAATATTAGGTAATTAAACCATACAACGAAAAGCAATAAAATTTGTTGTGGAGCTGGTTAATATAAATTGAGATGATTGGTAGAACATTTTGGAATTAGGAACGAATCTCGCAAAATTAATAGCAGTGTAAAACCAATATCGCACATAAGGGTTAAATAATCTAGTCGGGCAGTGGGCAGAAAATAGGTAAATTTCCTACATAAAGACAAAACTGGGAGTATGAAATTTCATTGTCAAAACAAAGTGTCATTAAAATGACCACCAGCAAGAAAACTAAATTAACACAAAATATATCCACATGGATTGAGGGAGATTGGTAACAGTTTCGACTGTTGAATAACTCAGCGGTATGTAGTTAACTAGAATTAACTTGAACTTAAATTATCTGAAATGATTTTAATCTAACAAATTCATGACCTCTATTTATCAGGTGACGAGCAATTGTACCATTGAAGACGTTCGCACCTTATGGTCGTACGTATCTTAGAATATTTAAAAGAGCGAAGCCATAAATCTCCTTTTATTCGTCTGACATTAATACTTTGGTACAAATACTTAAACTGGTAGATTTATTTGCAGGTAACATGAAAGGGGGACTTGTCAACGATGAGCTGTTTCAATCAATAACTTGTTTCGTTCAGTGTGATCACTTCGTTAGCTGGATACGTCATTTTTACGCCTGTGCTTACTCTGTATCTGATTCTCCCGGACACCTTTCAATCGAATTTTTGAGGGAGACTTAATCCTACTTCTTTGTATCTGATCTCGCTTTGATACTTGGTATTCTTTTATGTTTATCAATACCTGTTTTTGGGTAGCTATTGTCTCATATGTACTCTACAACAATGGTGGTATCCCTCGACAAGTCATTCCTTTGAACAAAGCTTTCCGTTGCAGTCAAACAATTTTCAAACCAGAGATTTCTTAAGAACTCAGTGAACAGAGGCTGTTAAAATTTGGATACTGCTCGTTCTAAGATTCTTTTGTATATTTTGATCGGCAGTTCTCAGAGGTCAAAATTCCGCAAAATGGAATCTTTCTTTTCCCTTATATTCCTTGGTGAACTGAATTCATTTATGTGCCTTGTTAAATAATTCATGGAGATGAATGGCACTTTTACTGTGTAGTCGTTTTAATAAATTCGACTTGAAAGTGCACATATTCAGATTTCTGTTTTCCGAATACACTTAATCTCTAAACAGCTAGTTGTATTGTTTATTCACCCGTGTCTGTTGTGTTTATCATTCTTTGTTCATTCATATTTTAGATCGTTTTGTGAGCCATCATCTAAGCAGATGTTATCCCACTTCAGCATTTTCACTTATCAAATTGAAATAAGCACAGAATGATACTAGAAACACATTTGTAATTGTCTGGTGTATTTCATTTATGTAAATACGAATGCACAACTGTTAGAATGAAACAGCTTCAAGGAGAATATTTTCCCTGAAATCTTTGTTTTGTGTTTCAAAGAAGATCATAAACTTAACCTGCGCTTTAAAGAAACCTCTTTCTTTGTGTTTTAGTTGTTTATTGAAACTAATAAACACGTCTACTTAAATCTTAGAATAAATGTACACAACCGCTGAGAATCATTAAGATACAGAATGCATAAAAAAATTCAGCCAAGTGACAATCGTCCAGATGCAAATAATCTTTTGATGTTTATTTAGAGATCAGAGTGAAGTAGACGCGAATCTCGGATAGCTATTCGTTGTAATATCAATAGGGTGTAGATAATTTTTAAAGTCTCGGAAGTTTAGCAATAGGCTTGGCTGTATTTCCTTATAAGCATAAAGGCTGATTTGGAAGGATATCTGTGAACACTTACAACTAAGGTTTTCAAGTTATTATTATTACTATTCGAGTGACTTTCTTAAACTAATCCGTTCTATCAAGATAA